TTGTAGACCTCTAGAAGAGCTGGTCCACTGAGGGTCTGTTGTAGACCTCTAGAAGAGCTGGTCCTCTGAGGGTCTGTCATAGACCTCTAGAAGAGCTGGTTCTCTGAGGGTCTGTCATAGACCTCTAGAAGAGCTGGTTCTCTGAGGGTCTGTCATAGACCTCTAGAAGAGCTGGTTCTCTGAGGGTCTGTCGTAGACCTATTCTCTTCAATTCAGTTCATTTCTAAAGCTCCAAGTCACAAGAGAAGTCGCCTCAGGGACTGGACACAAACATTCTTCTATAAATAATAATGTAACATTGTTAATGTGAGGAGCAGCTTAGAGTCTAACTCCATCTCTGAACTCTCGTGTTGAACAAGCATGAAGGAAAAACTCCCTCATGAGGAAGGAACTTAATCAGAACCAGCTCAGGGCAAGAGGACATCTGCTTCCACTGGATGGCTTTGGTAGGAATAGATACACAATGGCAGGTCAAGAATCACATGTTAAGATAGAAATAGTATCAAATAAAAACTATTCAATTTTAACAATTCATTTAAGGAAATGAGGTCAATTTGTCCTCTAGTAGTCTTAAGCCTATAGCAGCATAACAAACCAACCCTAACTATAGGATTTATGAAAAAGGAAAGTCTTAAACTGGACAATGTGTCAGCCTCACGGACAGAAACTGGAAGTTGGTTCCACAAGAGAGGAGCCTGAGAACTGAAAGATATTCCTCCCATTCTGTTTTTGTAAACTCTAGGAACCACGAATAAACCTGCAGTCTGAGAGTGAAGTGCTCTGTTAGGAAAATATGGAACAATAAGATCTGTAATATAAGATGGAGCTAGGTTGTTGAGAGCTTTGTAGGTTAGAAGTAAGATTTTGAATTCTATTCTGGATTTGACAGGGAGCCAATGGAGAGAAGCCAAAACTGGAGAGAGATGATCTCTCCCAGTAACTCCAGTTAAGACACTGGCAGCAGCATTTTGGATCAACTGAAGACGTTTTAAAGAAGTATTTGGACATCCAGTTAAATGGAGTGTACTTATACAGCACCTTTCTATCTTGTCGAGACACTCAAAGTTCTTTACAACAATCTGTGTCCTCATTGACCCATTCATACAGCTCTATACTAGATCTCTACAAAGGTAATTGAACAAATCATTCTAAAGAGACTAATCAGAGCTTTATCACATTCATACACTGATGGGACACACATCAGAGGCTATGAGGGGTTCAGTGTCTTGCCCAGGGACACTTCAGCATGTGACTGCTGGTGGATTCGAACCCCCAACTCTTGCATTGGTGGACGACTGCTCTAACCACTCAGCCACAGCTTTTCCTATAATAAACCATAGATCGATTATAAGATAATAAACCATTGCAATAGTCCAGTCTAGACGTGACAAATGCATGGACCAGTTTTTCTGCATCATTTTTAGATGTTTCTAATTTTAGTGATATTACGCAGGTGGAAGAAGGAGGTTCTAGTAACTTTTTAATGACCTCTAGAAGGTCTGGACCTATCAGGGTCTCCTGTGGTTTCATCTTCTGCCTTGTCAGCAGCAGATCATTTAACAACAACAGCAATAATAATAATAATAGTATTAATTTATTGATAAAGCCCAACGATGTTCAGCCAGGTCATCTGAATGGTTTCTATTTTTTGCCGAGACGTTTCGCCCTACATCCGAAGGGCTTCATCAGATGGAGGGCGAAACGTCTCGGCACAAAAAAGAAACCGTCCAGAGGACCTGACTGAACATCGCTGGGCTTTATATCTGGATTATCGAGCATGAACTTTGGTGTTCATTGATAAAGCTCTTTAAAATAACCACAGCGGCAACAAATTTCTGTACATGTAAAATCAAGAACATTTGCAGTACAAAATAATAAACAGCAGGTTTGGTTTATTTGTCATATGCAGGTCAACAACTCCATGAAATGCTGAGGATGAGAAGAACCGTCTCGACTCGCCAAAAAACAAGAAATACCAAAGCATGCAGCCAAAATACAAAAAGGCATCAAAAGTGAGATCAATAAAAATAAAGTCCTGAAAGTTGCCAGGTGGACCTCCATGGACCAAACTTGTTGGTCCAGAACATCCCAGAGGCTGGATTGGACTGAGATTTCCATGCCTGCACCTGGTCTTTGAGTTCTTGAAGTGTTTTTGCAGCCTGTAGGAGACCATCAAGAGAGGCTGGGTCCATGAAGGTCAGCAGAACGTTCTGCTCGGTTCTATGGGTCAAAGGAACATTCAGATGCAGTACTTCAATCTGTTTTCACTTTCTTCCCATAATGCACCTGGTCTTATGTCCACCTGGACCTGACGGTCCACGTCAGACCGGACCCTGCAGGTCTTTGAGCAGCTTCTTCTCTTCACTTTGTTGTTTTTATGGAACTTTACTTTGAAATGAGGAAACGATGTTTTGTGCCTGACGTTGTTTGATTTTTATTTCTGTTTGTTTTGAACCTTGCTCCTTTTCCGAGTTCGTCTCATAAATCCTCCTATCAACGTTTAACATCCCATAATGACCCTGTGAAGGTTCCACCTTTGACACAGCAGTGTGATGTCTTAAAGGCGCTCCAAGCTGTTGACAGCGTTTTCTTTAATCAGTATTTGGTGTCGAAGCGTTGGTCGGTGCAGTCTGACTTCATGTGTTGATCTTTTCATCCCTGCAGGTAGACTCAGCCCTTCCTTCTCACAATGACCTCACCTCCATCACAACCTCCCACCACCCTTCTAGACTCCCTGTCCATCTCCTCCCTCCTGTCAGGGGACCTGGACGATGAAGGAGGAGAGGAGGAGAAAGGACTGGGAGACCTGGAGGTGAACCCATATGACGGCCTGCCCTTCTCCTCCCGGTACTACGCCCTCCTGGAGGAGCGGCAGCAGCTTCCTGTGTGGAGCCTCCGGCAGAACCTGCTGGAACATCTGGAGAGCCACAGCATGGTTCTGATCAGCGCACCCAGCGGGTCGGGCAAAAGTACCCAGGTAACCAGGAAGTGAACCGGAAGTAACTAGGAAGTATCCTGATGCATGCTCAATAATCCAGGTAGAAAAATCCAAAAAAGTTCAATCTGGTCCTCTGGACATTCAAAAAAACAAAAAACAAAACAAAAAAAAATAATGTAGAAACGTTTCATCTCTGATCCGAGAGACTTCCTCAGTCTGAGGTGCTGTATTCAGCTCAGTCTCTTAAATAGCACCTTCTCAGAGTGGATCAACCAGTTTGCTGCTGACAACCAGAACCAGCTGATCACATGCTCAAGAAGGACCATCAGCCTAACAATGGATCATTAGCACACTGATGGCTGTTTACTATTCACAGAGGGCTGAGTGATACTAGCAATCACAGCATTGTAAGAGGGGGACAGTTGAACCTGGAGGCTCCGCCCCTGTTTAATGATGGACGGTTTCTTTTCACAAAGATGGCCTCCTTTACTTCTCTCTCAAACCATCGTTCCTCTCTGTCCAGGATGTGAACATCTTCATCCCTGAAAGAGTGACCTGTGACCTGGAGATGAGTGTAGACCGCAGAGTCCTGGCCTGATGATGTTGATCTTCTGTGCTGGTCCATCCTAACTAGGAAGTAACTCTTTCCAGAAAACAAAACCCTGAAACGTAGATCCATTCGCTCAAACTGCAGAAACAGAAAGTCACTGTTGGATGAGGTAAATCGGCCTGCAGGTCACTGAAGGTTCTGTAACTGTAAATGAAGAACCAGAAATAACCGGATGGTTCTTAGGATCCAGGTTTGAAAGAGAAATGCATCACAAGTTTTTAATATTTACAAAATACAAGTTTTAGTTGTTCACTGAACAAAACAAAGCATTTCTTCTATCAAACAGGTTAACAGTTTGGAACAGGATAAGATCAGGAATGAGATCATCAGAGGTACAGCACACTATGAACTACTGGGAGATAAAGTTAGAGAGGCCAGGCTGAGGTGGTTTGGACATGTCCAGAGGAGGGACAGTGGTTATATTGGTAGAAGGATGTTAGAAATGCAGCTGTCAGGAAAAAGACAAAGAGGAAATGTATGGATGCAGTTAGAGAGGACATGGAGGTAGTTGGAGTGAGGACAGAGTGAGATGGAGGAGGATGACTCGCTATGGAGACCCCTGAAGAGGGAAAAGCCAACAGAAGAAAAAAACAGGTTAACAGTATCGTTAATAAAAGACCAGTTTATTTTCATTAAGCTGTGTTTTTAGGTGTACAGTAGTCCTGCGTTTATCACTGGAATCCATACTCTGAAGCCCCACAATAAGTGAAAAACCGTGAAGTAGTAATAGTGTGTG